GGCTGATTGTTTTTAAAGAATTATATTTATTGAGGTTAGGTTGGGTTACAACACTGCATGTTTAGAGGTCAACTGCTGCTGCTTTTTTAACCACAGAGTTATTCTAAATGCCTACTTCCTCAAACCCGAGTTATGTGTAGGGGGGGAAGGGTGTATGCATATTGAAAGACATATAATTTACCTTCAAAAATGCAGTTTTTTGATTTGTTGAGTATGCTCAAAATGTTTGTTTATTGAATAAGCAGGTAAATCTCTCGTTTATATCCTCTACTTCCTCTTTAGAATATTTAAGGTGGTAAAAGCACAATTCTTACAGGACTTCTTATTACATGAACAAAGATGAATGAAATTCTGTTAGTGTTTTTTTTTTTGTTTTTTTTTTTAATAAGTGGGGTACAGGCCAGAGTCGGGGCGGGAGTGAGAAGATTCACCAGAGAGAGTGGGGAGCAGAACAGGCAGATGGACCAACACACACTGCTGAGGGGAGCAGTGGGCAAGACCAGAGAGGTCTGAGCGCCATGGGGCGGGGGGGATTGAACTTGCGCCACAAAATCCACTTACAGCTTCACAGCACTACGCTCAACCCCCTGCACCACCAGGAAAGCCCTGTTAGTGTTTTTGAGGCAGGGTACTCTTGTTCTTGGATCCAGAGCTCTCCCTCTTGAACTCGCAGCTAGATTATCAACTCTTTAGAGGAAGGTGGTATTCTATTTTATTTGGTACATATCTTCTAGCACTGTGCTATGTCCCTTAAAAGGCATTTGAAGGCCTCCCTGGTGGCGCAGGTAATTAGGTAGTTGAGCGCAGTGCTGTGAAGCTGTCTGCAGCCTCTGCAGTGTGGGATCCCAGCCAGCTCAGGTGGCGAGATACCCACATGGTGCATATTTTTCTATGAGACCTCTCCTGTCTCACCCGCTGCTCCCCACAGCAGTGTATTTCAGTCAGTCTGCCTGTTCTATTCCCCGCTTTGTCACTGGTGAATCCTCTCATCCTCATGCACATTGGCCTGTACCCTGGTTCTTGTATAAATCAATCTTTAAAAAAAAGGCATTTGATACATCTATTAAATGAGTAAATAAAGTCTCAGATATACAAATAATTGTACTTACTAAGTTCGATTTTGTAGAATTTTTGTGTGTCTGATAGAAATAGTAAGTTATGGACTTCTATAACTTACTAATTATAGAAGTTTAGAATTAATCTGACCAGGGAATAGAAATTCACTTGATGTAAACAACCTTATTTAAAATAACATTATTTTCTTTGCAAAATAAAAACTAAAATTACTAGTTTCCCACCACTTATATTTGGAGATTATATATATATATACACGTACATACACACACACACACACACTATATATATATATATATATATATATATATACACATAAAGAGAGCTAGTTTGGTGTGTGTGTGTTAATATATGTAGACACACACACATACATAGGTATATTTTTTCATTTATCCAAACTAAATGGGCATGGTGGTGGTACTTTGGTTTTTTTGGTAGCCTTTATGTAAGGAAGGCATTCAAATTTTTAAAAATTAAATTGAATTTTTACAGTTAATCAACTTGTGTGGATACATACGGTCTTCAGTCATTGCTGGCATGAGCCTCACAGTAGGCACTGTTAGTGTCTTAAAAAGCATGTTAGATAATTCAGTTTGTTCAACAGCATTACTTATACAATGGCATAAATTATGCAGACCCCAGAAGTGCAAAGAATCTCCAGGCTCATTTTGCTGATGACGAAACTGGCATCTAGGAGGTAAAGCAATGTTATCAGAACGAGAACCCAAGAAGCCCAATTTCTGGGTCAATGACTATGATATTCTGCTATCTGTTGGAACAAATATATAACAGTGTTAATTTTCTATCCTTCCTTTTAAATACTTTTGCCGATTGACGTGAGATTGATTTAGGTTGGTTGATTTTCATCTTAATTGCTAGCTTTATAGAACATATAATTTGGTCTCAGATGTGTAGACAATTTATTAAGCAGATTAGAAAAACTTTGCTGCCCTACTGTGCATTTTTCTGTCCATGGTTCTGTTAGAAGTTTGCTGAGAAAATGTGGTCATTGTTCTCCTTACACACATTTCAGAATTAAGATCACATAGCAAATGCCTTTAGTTTATTTGAAAAAAAATGAAGCTATTAAATGCTTTAATTCCTTTAAATACTTTTGGACTCCATATGCTTGGTCTGTGCTATTTTTCATGAAAATGAGGTCCTTTAGTGTATTAGGCAGCATAAAAAGATTGCCTTCTTGTTGTTGCTATTCTGTAATGTTCCCTTCAACTGACTTTAAGTATGAAGGTAACTTGGCCATCCATTCATTTATTCAGAAATTATTTATTAAATATAACAGGTCAGGCACTATGTTAAACCACATGTGGGTCCAACCTTTATTTTAGTAGGGGGAGAAAAATATTAAGGAAATAATCAGGCAAATATTTACGTATAAATATTACGTATTATGATAAAGGTTAGAAAAATATGTTGACTATTATGTGTGATTAAGATTACTAAATTTATATATTACCATATCAGAACAGGATAAGGAAAACTTTTTACACTTATAAGAACTTTCTGATGACATCTTTTGACAGTCTCTATAGAAGCTGGTGACTTGGTGAATTGGACTATGTGCCCTGCTAAATATAATATATAATGGAATTGGGACAGAATCCCAAATTCTCCAGTTCTGAGAATTCCAAGGTTTTATTTAAAACTTTAAGGAAGTCATTCAAGGTCTCTGAGACTCAATCTTCTTGGCCAAAAAAGACCAGTACTTCAATATCCCTTTCTTGGATTATAAGTACTGGTATTAAGTAGTCATTATTTGGTGAGTCCAAATTGGTATGCTCCTTAATCCCATCAAACACTGAATAGATATTACTGAAAAATTATTTCTCACTGTTTAAAAACCCATTCATATCACTGTGATTTTTACTTTATCTGAGTTATTTTCAAATATTATAATCCACAGAAGTTAAAATCATTTGTATTCTGACATTTTACTAGGCATACCTTTGAAATCTTTTACAATTTATGACAAACTTCTAGATTTGGGACCTGAACAAAAACTAAATTATAACTCTCAACATATTTAATATTCTCATTAAAAATAGCTTTATTTCTTGAATTATGTTAAAGGTAAGCTTATTTATTTTAAACTACCTTTTTTACAGTCCCAAATTAAAGCATATTGTTTCTTACTGAATCTCTTCTAATTAGATAACTATGCAATATAAAAAAGACAGCCAGAAACATAAGTACACAGATCCTTAACCAAAAATGATTTTTTGTGTATTTATTCCAAATCTCTTTTACACATTTTCCCAGATAATCATATTGTACATACAATTTTATTTTTCTGAAGCAAACCTTCAGAATACACTTAACCTGATTTTACACATGAGGTACTGTAAAGCACCTCAGAAAAGTTGAAGTGATAAAATGCTAAATAAAAATATCAGTTAAAAAGATGATGTACAGCATCTCAATTGTTACTACTAAGCCGGATATAAGCTAATCTTATAGAAAAGGATTTACCATGAGGAGGAATTCATGGCAAAAATGATAGTTATAATACTCACCATTTTGTATTCACATATATTCCTTTGAGTGAATGGATCATAATTTACTAAAGCTATGCCTTTATGTTGGACAGTGAGTGGTTTTCATTTTTATACAGTATGAATTACACTGGGATAAACATTGGCATTTTTTAATATTTTGGATTACTTCCTTAGGATAGATTCCCAGAAGCAGAATTACCAGGTTAAAGGGTATGAACATTTTATGACTCTTGAATCACATTGCCAAATTGCTTTCCAAAAAAAGGTTATATCAATTTACAATGCCACCAGCAGTATAGGAAAGTGCCATTCTCATAATATTCTTACATGTATTTGGAATCACAGTTTTTAGATTTGTAAATTTTCTGGACAAGAATGTAGTACCTCATTTTAATATGTTTCTTAGATTTTTTTTTTAAATGAAATACTGTTATTTTACAACATTGTTAATTATTTCAGAATGTAGGAGTTCTGCCCTCAGGTATGGTCACCATAGTTCTCCCACCACCTAAGCACCCATAGTCCTCCACCATAGTCCATTGTACTCTTCCCCCTCCCCCCATTCTTTCCCCTCCTCTCTTCCATTGGATGCCTCATATCTATGGTCAGCTTCAAGGATGGATTTTAAGGTTTGTCTTTTTCTGCTCTTTCGTTTGGCTTCTCTACATTCCACATATAAATGAAGCTGTTTGGTATTTATCATATTATTTCCCTTCCAGTTCCATCCATGTTGCAGCATATGGCATGAGTTTATCTTTTTGATTGCTGAGTAGTATTCCACTGTATCTATATACCACATTTTCTTTTTTTTTTCTAAAGATTTTATTTATTAATGCGTGCCAGAACTGGGGTATAGGCCAGAGGTGCGGGAGGTGAGAGGGTTCATCGGAGACAGAGTGGGGAACAGAACAGGCAGACTGACTGAAATACACTGCTGAGGGGAGCAGCAGGCGAGATAGGAGGGGTCTGCTGTGCCATGTGGGTAGCTCCCTGGCCGGGCATCAAACTTGTGCTGCAGTGGCTGTGGGTGGCTTCATAGGTTGCATCTTAACCCCTTGCGCTACCAGGAAGGCCCACCACATTTTCTTGATCCACTCATATCTGTTCTGGGGCATTTAGGTTGTTTTCATATCTTGATATTGTAAATAGTGCTGTTGTAAATATATGAGTGCAGGTCTCCCTGTGAATTAGTGTCTTTGTGTTCTTTGGGTAGATACCCAGGAGTGGACTTTTCTTAGTGTTACTTTTTTTTTTTTTTTTTGAAGGAAACATACCATTAAAAATCTCTAATTTCTTGCATGTCCTTTAACTCTCTGTGATGATTTGATATTATTATGTCTGAAAAGAATTATATATGATACAGATCAATCCTTTCCCATAGTATAAACTTTTTTGTCTATTTTATTGTTACAGTTTGGCGCAGGTCTCAGTGTTAGGGAGCATGTTGAGGATTCAATATCCGGTCAAATACAGGCTTATTATAAATCCTCTCTATGTAAGTATTCAAATTCTAATTTTTCTGAGTGAACTTTTAACAACCTTGACTTTGGAACTCATCTATAATTTATGTTGATGTATAAGGTGTGTTTAAGTGATCTTTTTCCATATTGGTAAGGTTACCTCAATATCATTAATTGCATGATCCTTTATTTTTCTGTGTTTTAGAGTCTTTTATATATATATCAGATCTTCTAGTTTTTGGTCACTTCTATTTCAGTGATCTGTCCTTGGGGCAAAACTTACTTTTTATTCAATGTGGAATACACATGGTCTGTTTTAGGATTTTAAAAACAGTCTCACCTATTGTTTTCTTATATTAACCTTAAGATTTCGACAAATTCTAAAAAATAGTCTGTTTGAATTTTCATCATTTGTTTTAATTTATGAAAGAACATGAATTTATTCATGTCTTTTCCCCCCATTATAAAAGTGATACCAGCTTATATTTTAGAAAAATACTGACTAGAGAAAGGAAGAAAAAGTTTATTCACAGTTGCTGTAAAATATAAGCATAGTTAACCTTTTGGAGTATGTTCCTTTCAGATATTCTTGTCTTCTAGTTGTAAAGATATGATGTATGGTCATTTCATGGCTGTTTATTGTGCTTTTACTTTGGCCCAGCTTCTTTACTAGGCTTTGAGTTAGACATATCCTGTCCTCATTAACATTTTATCATATCCCATTTTTGTGTTTTTGCACACTCCTACATATCAATAGCTACAAATTTTACCATGTATAAATTAGTTTGTGTAATCATTTTTCTACTCTGGACATTTCCAATTTTTCAATGTTATTTTTTCTTCATTTAAAATGTTTCTTTAAGATATATTTCTTGAAATGGAGAAATTTGATCAAAAGGATATGAACACATTCAAGACTCTTAACAAAACTTCCACATTACTTTCCAAAAGGCAACTTCTGGTATCAACTTTCCCTGCCACTGGAAATGGGAAAAGAAAAATTTTTAAAACCAATTTGCCAGCAAAGATTTTAATCATTCAAAATTGTTTTTGTAAATTTGATAGGTATTTATTTAATTTTCCTTTTTTTTTGGGGGGGGGAGAGCTAACAAGGCTAAGATTTCTTTACAAGCAAAATAAATGTGTTTCTTTGCATTTTTCCCTCATGTCTTTTATCCTGCATAGGTGCTTGTTTGTTTCATGTGTAGGAGCTCTTTATGGAAACATCCTTTTTGGTATTTATCTTTCCTCAGAGTTATCTCAGAAGAGAAAAGCAGCAATTGATCACTGAGTTGTGTGCCTTGTATTTCTGGAAGTCAAGAGGCAGTGCACACACCTCCTACCTCCAGAGCCCAGCTGTAGGTCTGACACCTGTGGGCTTTCCATGCATGACACCATGCAGAAGAAGCACATAACACCCCTCAACAGTGCAGGGAACTTTGGGGTTCTAGAGCCATTGAGTCTAACAATGGCAACAATGGCTTCCTAAACCAAGGTTGGGCCAAGAAATGACTTACTAGTAAGCCCTCCTGTTTTTATGAGTAGAAAGAGAACATCTTATAGTCAGAACACAAGAGGATACAAGTAACTGGGCAGCGTGTGGAAAACGTTTAAAAGGCCGGGGTGGAGATGGGGAAGGGATTAAATGAAGATACTGAGTAAAGGTATTGAGTGGAAGGAAACAAAAGCACTCTGAAATCAACAAAACAAATCTATGGTGTGTGCTGGCTGTGGTGGGTGATTTAAAAAGATCTGTAGCCTCATCCTAGTTTAGTTTTTGTAAAATCACAGAATCTTATTAGGGATCTCAAGTGATATATTCCTATTTATTCTTGCTTCTATACACATGTACTTATGTACATATACAGCACACAGACCCATGGAGAGGCTCAGAAGAAGCACTTGCCAAAGCAGAGAGGTCTTCAGGATTCTGGGCCTGACTTGTCTGGCCTTGTAACAGGTCCCTTTTGGTTACAGCGTTTAAGGGAAGTAGGCAGTAGGTAATTGTGGCAATTTGATTTAGTATCTTTCCTCTTCTATCTCCCTCAGGGTTTTGAGTGAGAAGCTCAGAGGCCTCTATTCCAATAGGAGAAATACAGAAGATTGAGAGAGGACACTCTCATCATACCTAGTGTCTACTGTGGTACTATTTTAAGGTACTATTATGGGAAAATTTTCGATTACATACTTTATGGGATAATTTGCATTAGTCAAATTTGTATGTACTCAGGAGTACCTATAAAACATGACCCCTAATTTCAAGAATAGACAAAAAAACAAACAAACAAAAAAACCCGAAAGAGAACCTTATTTTAAAAAGGGTGTCCTGTGCGGAAGTATTACAGAAACCTCTATAAAAAAGGGGAGGTACTATGTTCCCTGCCCCCACTTAACAAGTTGTGGAGCTGAGCTGCCAGGTGTAGATATGTAACACAAGGCAGGTGGGCTCAGTGAAGGAAAAAAAGGGGAATTTCTCTTGATTTTGAGGCCAGACTTGCAACCTGATACTGCTGGAAGGAGATCTGGGAGGAGACAAGTAGAGGAGAGACATGTAAAGACACTTGGAAGAGATATGTACAAAGTCTCATAATGACACTCCTTATCTTGATGTGGTCTTTTCTTTTATCCCAGCTTACTGGGACCTGCTTCAGAACCCCTTTCTTATTGTTCTCTGCCAGAAGGTGCCTTCGATTTGTGGCAAGATTTCAGGCATCAGTGGCCCCATTTCCGGCTGACCCTGTTTGTCTGGACACTTACCCACAAGGAGATGGGTAATTTTGGGTGTTTTATAGGAATAATATCCTTTATTCTCTCTATGCACATTAATTCTATTAAAATTCTTTCACATTAAGAGTCTGCTTTGCTTTTGTGCACAAGGAGAGCTGGACCCCTTTAAAGTGTCCAAGTTTAGGGGTCCCTGGGTACCCTTCAGTTAGTCGCACTAATAGAGGAACTTCACATTAGAAATGATTCATAACTTACAAGTCGTTTCTGGTCAAGGTGGTGATGTCATGTTGCCTTGGAGGAGAACTGTGAGCTGGAAAGGATTTCCCTCTTAGGTGAATGCTGGGCACCTAATGGTTTGGGGGCAGGCCACTACTTTCTCTAACCTATGGAGCCATTCATTCTCTTTATGATGGCTTTACCAAAGTAAGTACAATGTATTGAGTACATATTATGTCCCAGGTACTTTCCCAAGGGCATTGCCCATATTATCACCTATTGATCCCTTCAGATCCAGGTCATTACTTCTTTTGATCCCATATTCCATAACTCATAACCCTAAGCTGAACGAACAATTCCATTACTAATTATCATTTGATAATTAATAATGCTCCATTTTCATTCTGTTCACTTCTTATATGTAATACTTCTGTAGCCTAGATCTCTTGCTGTCACACTATCTGTTGAGTTCAGTAAGAGCAGCACCTGTGTTTCACTCCAATTTCTCAGTATTTGGTAGTTCTTAAGTATTCTATTGAGTAAATACTGCTCGGAAATCCATGACTTCAAATCCATTGAGGAATCAGAATTTTGAGCAAGAGAGGACTTAAAACCTTTTTTTTTTTAAAAGATAAACGTCTTTTCCTCAGATTCTTTTTTAAAGATTTATTTATTTTTATGCAAGAGCTGGGGTACAGGCCAGAAACGCAGGAGGGTGAGAGGATTCACCAGAGACAGAATGGGAAGCAGAACAGGCAGATGACAGAACATTGCTGAGGGGAGCAGCAGGCATGACAGGAGAGGTCTGCCTGCCATGTGGGACTCTCCCAGGCCAGCCAGGAATCTAACCGGCACTGCAGAGGCTGAAGACAGCTTCACAGCACTGCGCTCAACGCGCTGCGACACCAGAGAGGCCCCTTAAAACCTTTTATACAAACTTCTTTTACATAAGAAAAATTAAGTTGAATCAAGTAACTTACTTGAGGTCACCTAAATTTGGTAGAATGAGATTAGAATCCAGTTCCCTTGTTTTTCAGCCCAATATTATTTCCCCAACAGAGATGTTACCAAAAATGCATCTAAATATCTTGATCTCTAAATCTCCTGACCCCACCCAAATCCTATCAGCAATTGGCCTTTGGCATTTAAGTTATTTCAGTGATTTTGAATTTCCCAAGAGCAAACTATGGCTTTTGTTTCACAACTCCCCTTTCAAACAAAGCAATACACAAATTCCAAACTCGCTGGCTCTTGGGTAAAAGTTGGAGGAACCCTTCTCTATATTTTCACTAACAAGCGTTTTCTACGTGTACTTTTTCATCCAGCTAAATCAAAATTGCTTGTCAATACACACGCCATACTCTTTCTTCACCATTTCTTGAGCCATCCTGTTCATTCTGAGTAGCCTTGCTCCTATCAACACCATTGTCTTTAATGGACTGGGAGCTTCTAGCACAGAAGAGAAACCTAGATTTAGTCACACGGTAATCGAAGGAGAGAAATTTGTGTGACCAGCACCTAGCAGCAAAGCCTTAAACAAAGTTCACCGAATGACGGTGAGCTTGGAAAATTACAGAAATGTAACTTACCATTCAGAGTGGTAAAAAACCTTTACCAAGAACTTTTCTCTTTGGGGGAAAAATTGGTTGATTCAGTTTTTTATTGTTGTTTGTAGCTTTTCCCTTTAACTTTAGTTCATCTGTTATGATTGCCATTCTCACTCCCTCTCTGAACTCCATATTCTAACACTCCTGTCCCTGGACACTTGTAGGAGAGGAATCCGCAAATTCCTCTGGGGCTCCATCACTGGGGCAAGTTCTCAGTAGCTGGAGAAGGTCTGGCCTGCAAACAGGAAGTATCTGTGCTGGTATCTACTTTGTGCCTGGGGCAAAAACTTTGGCTTCCATCTGGAGACTGGTAGAGAATGACAGAACAAAACTAACCTTTACCACCCTTATCTGAAGCTTTTCCATGTGGGCCTTCTGACCCAGTATCGCTCAGGTCTTCTTTCCAAAATGGGAGTTAGCAGAGAATAGCCCCGCTGAAAAGTGTCAGCTTTGAGCACTCTTTTAACTCCTTTCCTTCATTAAAAAAAAAAAAAAAAACAATTCTTGAGCGGGACATTTGACTGTTTTGAATTTTAAGTTTCTAAAGCATTCCAAGGACTGTCCCCTTTGGAAGGCTGAGAGTCAAAGAAGGGCTGATTCGGCCCCCTGGTCTGGAAATCCCTTTTCCTCAGTGTCCTATCTTGCCCCGTTTGGATCACAAGAGGAGCAAGAGGCTGCTTTCCTCTGCCTGGCCTCCTCACCAACACCCATTAGTCCCAGTCTTCAGGACAGTGGGGACTCCCAACCACGCGCCCAGGCCCCTTGCCCAGAGGGGAGGGGGGCCAGGGGTGCACGCCAGCCCCTGTGCGGTTGGAGGGCACGCCGCCAGCCCTGGGGATGACTTCAGCCCGCCCGCCCCACAGGCACCCCGGTCCCGGCCAGCCGGACGGGTAGCCCAATGGGCAGCCTCGTTCTGGAGGCGGGCGCAGGCCGGAAGCCACCCCGCGGCACAGCGGCCCCGCGAGACGGCGCCCGCGCCCCCGCCCTCTCCGACCCGGGCTCCGCGGCAAAGGGCGGCAGGGGCCAGCCTGCCGGGTCCCCGCCGCGCTCTTTGTCCTGGCCGCGCGCGGGCGGACGCGTGCGCCTCCCGGGTGAAGGTAAGCGCGGGGAGAGAGCGCGCGGGCGCGCGCGGGACGGCTCGCGCCCGCCGACCCACGGCGGCGCGCGCCCCTCCGCCAGGCGAGCGAGCGGCGAGCACGCGCGCCATCGCCGCGCCCGCCCCTCCCCCGCGCGCCTCGGAACTTGCTGACTGCGCGGCCGGGAGGAGCCGAGCCGGGCGGCGGCGGCGGCGGGAGGCCACAGCGCGCGGGGGTCTCCCGCGTCCCCTCCGCCTCGCCGGGAGCTTGCGCCCTCGCCCAGCCGAGCGCCCACCCCCCCTTTTTTCCGAAGGCGCTGGGCGGCGCCACCCTCCGGCCGGAGCCCGGCACTGCACAACCCCCTCCGACTTTCAATGTTCCACACTCCCCGGCCAGAGCCTCCTCGGCTTCTTTTTTTCCCTCCCCCCCCCCCCCCCCCAGCTGCCTCCATTTCCTTAAGGAAGGGTTTTTTTCTCTCTCCCTCCCCCACACCGTAGCGGCGCGAGAGCGGGCCGGGCGGGCCGCCGAGGTAAGGCGCGGGGCCGGGGGGCCTCGTGGGGGGCGGCCGGGGGCGGCGGTGGGGGAGGGGGCGGGGGCGGGCAGCTTTGTTCGCAACGGGTCCGCGCCGCGGGGTCCGCGAGCCGCGGCGGG